AAGTAGGGATAAGTCAGCGCCTAACACGCATTGCCGGTTTAGTCTTTTACCGATTGAAGAAGACACCAGAATCCGAGTTTGGGGACTTTTATCCTGAATCCTAAGTAAGGATGAGTCAGCGCCTAATACGCGTTGCCGGGTAGTCTATTCCCGTAAGAAAGACGAAGTCTACGTATTCAATATCGTAGCACTAAGGGAGTTAACTCTCTTAGCACAACGTTACATGCAGAACGAACTTAAACAATCTGCATGCTAGCCCGACTCGAACGGTAGTCGGTAAAGGCACGTCAAATCTGTTGAAGGCTGAGGGTTTACTAAAAATCCTAAGTCTACGTCTAACACACGTCGCCGGGTAGTCGATTCCCGTGAGAAAGACGAAGTCTACGTATTCAATATCGTAGCACTAAGGGAGTTAACTCTCTTAGCACAACATTATATGCAGAATGGACTTAAACAATTTACATGCTAGCCCAACTCAAACGGTAGTCGGTAAAGGCTCATCAAACCCGTTGAGGGCTGAGGGTTTGCCAAAAATTCTATAAAGTGTGAGAGTCATTGACGCACCAGCTTTATTAGTTGGTCTCATGGCTTGAGGATCCAATAACTTCAGGATAAGATTCATACGTGCAGATGAATCACCTTTAATAGTTGGTCCTGCAGCTCCGACATTTGGGACTGCCACGTTCCAATGCCTTAAGAGCTTAAACTATATAAACTCCAGCAAACGTACGAGTATAAACTGTGTTAACACCGGTCAGTATGTTACAGCAAAGGATAACACCGATCAACGCGCTACAGTAAAGATCGATGTAGGTTAACGCATCAATAATTTCGCCAAAATAAGGCAAATGGTGATTTCAAGGAGTTCAATCGCATTCAGATATGAATTTCTGATGAAGATGATCGGTTCAAAGTCAACTCAATGATACGAGCTAAATTCAGAAACTTATGCATCAACTTCAGTTCAAGATTTTGACAACGGCCAGATGATAAACGTAGCACCAGAAGAACTTTATCTATTCGATAAAACACTGAATAGACTGAAGGCTGAAGAAGTCAAGAATTAAAGCAGTTCATAGGTCCCTCTGCGAGATTGAGGAAATGGCCTATCTTATCCAAAGTATTCCAGACTCTGAAGAAGTCAAAGAATGAGTCTAAAATACTTTGGAGGGGATATCTGTAGGCGTCTAAAAATGCCTATAGGTGTCCGCACACAGCTCGAGACGGAGAGAAGATGATGAACGCCGTTATCTGAGTCTAAGAGGAATATCTGACGCTGACACGTGCATGAACCGGAATGGCAAACCAACCGTGTCTCGTGCGCTCACCGGCCACCTCCAATTGGCCGTCACGCTTGTTAGTCAGCTCGTGCACGTCAGTCAGCTCAAAGTGCCCAACGCGCTCGTCGGTCAGATACAAAGTGCCCGACGTGCTTGTCGGTCAGATCCAAAGTGGTCGACGCGCTTGTCAGTCAGTTCCAAGTGCCGTAAAGAAGCTAACAAACACATGAAGCGAGTTAATGACGCGTGCAAGTCAACAAGACGATCAAATATGTAAAACGATAGAAAAATACAAGTCCCAAAAAATCATAAAACACTAAAAAGTTCAGCAAAGGCCAAACTTCCCGCGCAACCGCAGGTCGGTCACAACTAACCCGTGCCCACGTGGGTCGGACGCAACCGACCCGTGCCAGCACGAGTCGGTCACGGCTGACCCGTGCCCCAGCGGGTCACCAGTGCCCGTCGCACAGATTTTATCCCCAAACTCGTTTTCGACGGTTTTTAAGTGGTTTTCTCAGGATTTATCTATTCCAGGGGTTCCCAACCGACTTGATATCATCCACAAATGTGGTTAGGCCGTTATTGACTGAAGATAAGGTCAAATCGCTCATTCTCATCCAAATACCCCCAACCGAAGCCTATAAATACAGGCCGAGAGGCTCATTTCATGAGGCGGACATCAAGAGGACGAAGCGCTGCCGAATTGGAGAGTGGAGCCACGAATTTACAGTGAGGATTAGCAGATCTTGGCGAATTCCTGTGCATAAAGAGTGGAGTTCGAGAGATCTGAGACTCATCCCCTATTCTGCATAAAGAGTGGAGTTCGAGAGATCTGAGACTCATCCCCTATTCCTCCGGATTTAAGCTTAGTCTTAAATCTCGAGAAGAGTATTCCTCCGGATTTAAGCTTAGTCTTAAATCTCGAGAAGAGCCGTGATCTCGCTTGGTCGGGATCATCGTTGCAGTGATTACTTCCTTCGTGAAGTAAGAGCTTTGATCAACTTAATCTACCGACCGGATCTGATCCGTGGTGGTCCACGGATATTAACATCCCCAGCACAGGCTAAGTTCCCACGCAAGCAGTGGGTGATAAACGTCTGTTGCGTTATTTGATAAGAGTTGTACTTTTTATATTTTCATTGTATAAGAAGATCTTATAAAAAGATTAACTTTTCTCATTTATTTGAGTTTATTGTAATGATCAAAGTTGTAATAGATTCGATGACAATGAAAACAACGACTTTTGACCCAAACAATCATTACAAGTGCTCATGCCTTAAAAAAGGAATCTTATTTCTTAGAAAAGGAACATTATTCATGATTAGGAGATTGTGTCTCATAATGATTAGGAGTTTGAATCCTATTCTAATTAGGAAGTTAGGTTAGAGATAGAGTTTTGGTTTTTCTATATATATTATTCTATTATTGGAAGGAATAAAAATAGAAATGAGAGAGCCAATATTTTTATAATCTAGGGTTAGTAGAGGGCATATCCTGATTCAAAAATATTATGCGAGAGACGAGAGTTTTGTAATATTTGTCCGTGCAAAAAGTTACAACACTGGGAGAGGATTTCCCAGTCTTTGTCCATTCAAAAGATTGTAAACAGAGAGTTTTTGAGAGAATATGAGAGTTGATTATGTATGTGAAGTTGAAAGATTGAGAGACGAGAGTTAAGTGGTTCCTCTTATAGTTCTCCCTGATACATAGTGAATTTCTTACATTGTTGCCCCGTGGATGTAGGTCGAAGTTGGTCGACCGAACCACATAAATCTTGGTGTTCTCTTTTTTATTGTGGTTATTTTCTATCTTATTAATTATGGGTTGGCTTTCAAGTTGCGGAGATCGTAGTACACGAGAGGTCTAAAATTCCCTAACAAGTGGTATCAGAGTTATGATGATGGATCCGGGAGCGGATTCGCAAGATAGACATCGTACAAAAGTAAAGATCGATAGCGTTACAAAAATCAAGATGAAGAAAAAGAAAAAGAAAAAAAGAAGGTATTGTAGAGCGAGAACACTGTAGCAACGAGAATACTATTCATGTGGGTGAGGGTTTGGTTAAAAATTATTAAATTAAATCCGATGTTGCAGATTAATTTGTCTTCTGATTGAATGTTTGGAGATAGATTTTGACGGTCCAGGAGTTGATTCCTAGGTTCTGGAGTGTTTTAAACGCGATGGGAGGGTTTGATTTTTTAGATTTTGCTCAGATTGGTTAGAAAAATATTAATAAATTCTGATGGTGGTAAGGAGACAAATCTAATGGCAGATAGGATAAATGAGTATGCGACGGATAAGACTGGTGTAGAGAATCAGACATGATTCTAGCAGTAGAGTTGTTAGCATATAATTATTCAGAGTCATCATTGGAGCAGGAGTTGGTTGGTGTGTAGACTCGAGGAGTACAGTATCAGTTTAGGTAGAGCTTGCAAGCGGGCACTATCAAGTGACACACATGTTGATGAAGATGGTGGCATTGGACTTGTAGGGAGTTGTAGGAGAATTTACGCTCATATTCGGTCCAAGTCAAGTGACAGAGGAGATAAAGGCATCCAGCTCATAGTGTGGAGTAGGAGAGGTGCATTGATATGATTCGAGATGAGCGATGCAGGTGGAGTACGAGGACAGCAAGTGAGGGAAGGCTACTGTCAAGTTTAGTTCTGGAGGAGAATCATGATTGATTTGCTTATAACGTTAGAGTTGGCGGATCTCTTGTTGTGCACAAGCGAGGTGGAGGTGCAACAACGAGGCAGATGAAAGTGAGGGTCATGAAGGGTATCCAGGTTGGAGTACAAGTGTTCTGATTAGGAGTGTGGTGCTTCAATTTGAAGTGCAAAAGAATAGAAGACGCTAGTGGGAGAGGAAAAAGTTTCAAGACGACGATGATTTATCTGTAACGGCATTTGAGAATCAAATCCAAGGTGGAGATATTAGGATTGTGTTTTTGATTCTTTGTATAACTTTATGAGAATTAAATAGAGTTAAAGATCTATCATGATTAGGAGATTGTGTCTCATCATGATTAGGAGTTTAAATCCTATTCTAATTAGGAAGTTAGGCTAGATATATAGTTTTGGTTTCCTTATATATATTCTTCTATTATTGGAGGGAAAAAAGAGAAAGGAGAGAGCCAATATTCTTATAATCTAGGGTTAGCAGAGGACGTAGTCTGATTCAAGAATATTGTGCGAGAGACGATGGTTTCGTAGTCTTTGTCCGTGCAAAAAGTTACAACACTGGAAGCAGATTTCCCAGTCTTTGTTTGTTCAAAAGATTGTAAGAAGTAGGTTTTTGAGAGAATATGAGAGTTGATTATGTATGTGAAGTTGAGAGATTGAGAGAAGAGAGTTAAGTGGTTCTTCTTGTAGTTCTTCTTGATACATAGTGGATTTCTAGCATTGTTGCCCGTAGATGTAGGTCGAAGTTTATCAACCGAACCACGTAAATCTCAGTGTTCTTTCTTCTTGATTATGGTTGTTTTCTATCTTGTTAATTGTGGAGTGGCTTTCAAATTGCGAAGATCGTAGTATGCGGGAGGACTAAAATTCCCCAACAATCTGGCCATAATATATGTTCTGTTTTAACTAAGTGATCCTTTAACCTTTTATAAGAGAATGTGTTATGTACAATTAATGTAACATCAATTTATCAGTAGTATTAGTACGATAACAATGTCACGGCATCATTAAAAATACACGAAGTAACAAGCTAATAACAACAAGAAAATATTATTTAAACAACTGAATAAACGACTGAACTTTTAATGTGTATATATTTTGCCGTTAAACTCGGTATGAGTTGGGAAAACTGTTTTGAGATGTGAACTTTGACGCTTCACGGCCATGCTTTTGGACTTTGGAGTATTGGCTTGGATGTACATCCAAACTTTCTTTTATATGCTCTATGGCTCGGAGTGTACTCCATCCTTGTTCCTCCCTTCAAAAACAAGAAGAAGAAAAAAAGAAAAAGTTTAATCAGTGAACATCGGCCAGCATATTATAGTATTACTTGCACTAGCAAGATCGAAAAAATAATTAATACGATAATCAAGTTTAATATAATAATAATGGAAAAGTAAAATGGCACTAAATATTTTTAATTTCAATTTTTAATAGAAAGTAAGGGGGTGTTTGGTTCAATTTCTAGAAATTATAGGAAATGTTTTCCACCTAAAATATGATTTCCTTGTATTTCTTAAAAAAATTATAAGAAAAGTTTTGAGAAATCAAAAAGTACCAATTTTCTTGTTTTTTGTACTTTGCTTGTTTGGTTCAAAACAAGAAAATAGCTCATAACTTTATAGAAAATAACAAGATTTGGTAGGTTTTTAATTAAATATGGTATGTGTCAGATTTCTGGTGATTTTCTCTCATTTTGAGAGGAAATTGCTTTTTGTAAAATTTGGTAGGTTTTGATATTTTATAGAAAATATTTCTGTAAATTTTTTGTTGAACCAAACACAATTTACAGAAATCTCTAGAAAACTTTTAATTACAAATTTACCATTGTCAGATGTTTTGAGAAAAGTTTTCTCAAAAAGTGTTCAACCAAATAGCCCCTAAAATGGGGATGTGTTTTCTGCTGAGTTATGAATCTTATGATGTTGCAAGTCATTCAGTTATCGGGTTGCGAGTGTCATGATATTAGCGGAAATAACATGTGCATATCTTTGTGATTGATTCTGTAAATATTCCCTAGGCTAGGTATGTTAAGATGAGTTGTATGATTGCTCTTCTTTCCTAACTTAGCTTATTTGCTACTTAGTTTAGCTTTGCTATTTATGTAAACCTTCTAACTGTACAAGGAAAGTAGGAATTAGCTTTGTGTATATATTCCCAGGATTGCTCTTGCTTTCCGCCAATACATGATTCTATAGAAGCTAGCTCAAAGTTTCCCAGGGATATTTCTTTCTTATCCTTTCATCACTACTCCCTTTCTTTCTTTTGTCTGGTTCCTTCACCAATCTAGACAACAATCAAAACAACCCTAAATTCGTAGTGTCGCAAATTGGTATCAAAGCAGAGTATGATCCTCTTAGTAATCTTCTTGAGTTTTCAAAAAAAAAAAAAAAAAAAAAAAAAAAAAAATAATTTTAAAAAAAAAAAAAAAAAAAAAAAAGAGAAAAAACTAAAACATGCTTTTAGCCCAACTTAATTTACTTTTTAATTGTTTATTTTTTTCACCACTCAGGTTATCAATCCAAGAACCTTATGTCTCATATTCTTGTCATGTAGAAATCGCAGGATCATATAATATATCAAAAAAGAGTCCCTTACTGTAACAGAACCAATTTGGCAATATCATGCAAATTAGTAGCAATGAACAATATTTTAAAAACATTAAAGCAACAAGAATAACATCTAATTGAATCAGCTCCCATAAATAGTTTTTATTATAATAACTCATCTTAATGACTGATCTATCATCAAGTAGATGGCGATGATTCTTGCTTAAATCAGTCGAAAAGTAGCTTATATTTTGAAACCATACCTGACCTGATGATCCAAGAAGAAATTGTGGTACAAATCTGACATTCACTAGCCTTATAGCTGTCAGAAAATTAGGAGAAAGTAAATTTGTGAGATAATAATGCCTTCAAAATGAATAAGCCTTTCACTAATATTACAAAAATGAATAAGCCTTCACTATGTTATCCTAAGATTGATCCTTCAATAAAATCAGGCAAAAGCACCAAGAAAAATGGAAGATGAAGCTGCTAATGAAGAAAAACACAACATATCAGAGTACAATGTGGGTATGCACTGAGCCTTGAATTCATCAAAGGAGTGATGTCCACTACGTCAAAGGTGTTTACAGAATAGTTACAATCACTTCCATAATTCTAACTGTTAAAGTCTCTAACAATTACATCAAAACTCTGAAGTTATGGTATGGGTTAAGGGTTATAGTTTTATATTCTAACATTGCTCATGCAGGTTGAGCGTCATTTTTACAGACAGAAACCCGGACTCACGCAGTGATGTCAATTTTAGAAAATCCGCTTTAAGTTCGTGACCAGTCGGATTCAAACTTGGGTTTCTCTGGTATCATGTCAAAGTCTCTACCTATTTTATCAAAAATCCAAAGACATGGTTTCTAATGGCTTTCGAAGTTTGCTATGAAAACTCTTCAAGAGAGCTGCAAAGAATTACTAAAATAACTATGCACATCCTGAAAGAACACACAAATAAAAGCCCTAAAAGTTGGCTTTTGTAAGTATAAGAACATGATAAAAAACTACTTAATTCATAGACCATTACCAGTGCGTTTGCTTTTTATAAGGGTGAGTCAAGAATAATAAGTTTGTTGTAAGAATTTGTACTCAAACTACAGCGCCTTCTAAAACTGAAAAAAAAAATCAAAAGGAATATATTCCTCTAATATTTATGGGGACTAGATCAAATAACTACCATTACCAGATATCGATAATTTCAAGCAATAAACAGTTTCAAACATCAAGAAGCATAAATAACTTCGAACTGGTGCCTGTGTCGCCAACCTCTCAGTGCCAAAGCTCGGTAGCTCAGCTTAATGTGATCGATCAACATGTAAATATGCAACTATAAAACCAATATTATGCTTCACAACCATGGCTGAAAAGACGACGCAACAGGCAAACTTGCAGTAAAATCACTATAATGAAGAAGTGAAACTGTGAAATAACAACGATCAATTATAACGCAAACACAAGCATTAGTGAGGGAATCCATTGATCAGCTAAATTGTCAACCGAGTAGGATTTTGCTTGGCAGGAAAGAAAATAAGCTTCCACCAAATGACATGAGAAACAGAAGCCAACACTTGGCACAGCTCTAATTGAAAGGCACAACACGCCCATTCTCTTCACTGAAATCAAGCGAAGGCAACATCAAGCACGCTGGCAGAGGAAGATGACTTATATATTCATAGTACGTACTCATCTCACCTACACATAGAGAAGCAGATTTAGAGAGGAAATGGGCAGGGGGAGAACTCTTTATGAGTTATTTCATTATCATGTAAAGAAACTTAATCCTCATACTCCTTAGCATTCCCCCTACAATCATGCTCAAACCTCGAAATTGCAAACCACTTCATCTCCACTCCAACTGCTGACCCTGCTGCGGCCGCACCCCCCTTAATAGCCATCTCTACTAAAATCTTTCCAACTACCGGCCCCATCTTGAATCCATGCCCAGAAAAGCCTCCGGCCACAACCACATCCCTCCCAAACTCCCCTCCGACAAAATCCAACACAAAATCCCCATCAGGAGTCATCGAATACAAACATCCTTGTGTAATGACAGGCTTATCAAACTCAACACAGCCAGGCATCACCTTTTCAATCCACTTCCCAACAGGGTCCACCAGCGAACCAGCGCTTGAGTCTGACCCCAAGCCCCAGGTTCTCTTATTTGGGTCGCACGGGTGACCCCCGTGCATTGCAAGCTTGATCAGCCCAGGAAATTCTACCGATGGTGTGCCATAGATAAGGGGGTCACCGTAGCTGGCTAAAGATGGAAAACCACTGCCTGAAACTAGGGTCTTCTCGTAACTTTCTCTGATTTTCCAGTAGCAAATGACAGTGTGAAGGGGTTGCATTGGTAAATCCAGTCCGGTCACTGTTTTCACTAAAATTTGCGTCCAAGCTCCTGCAGTAACCACACACTTCTTGCCCAAGAACTTACGGCCATTGACGGTTGAGACCATCACTCCATTGCCATCACCAGCTAATTTCTTGATATCAACCACTTCTTCGTGATCTCTAAGAACAACACCTCTCTTGATGGCTAGTGCTTGGAACATGGCTACTGCCTTTGTTGGCTTAATTACTCCACCTTCACTAGCCAACCCTATCCATCCATCGGGGAGTTCAAATGAGCAACCGAACTTCTCAGAAACCTGAGACTGGTTCAAGACCTGCGCATCGATGGAATGAGAGTTACAACTAGAGATGACAGACTGTAGGGTCTTGCTATCAGCTGGTCCTAGATCCAAATGTGGGGTTTTTGTAATGACCCGATAACCAATTTCGGACTCAGCTTCCTCCCAAAGCTGGAAAGATTTGGCTACCATAGGAACATAGTAGGGTTCAGGGTAAGCGTAACGGATTGTACGTGACTCTCCATGGGAGGAGCCGAGATGGTGGAGGAAGTCGAACTGCTCCAAGAGAAGCACGCTGAGGCCACACTTTGCTGCTTCGTAGGCAGTGCAGCTTCCCATGATCCCTGCGCCGATGATGATGACGTCGAAGTGATCAGCAAGAACCGCCATTATACTCTCTTTCTCAGTGAGCAGATTCCTTTAATTTGCAGGCAGGAGGACGTTTAGGTTAATTATTAAAGATAATGGTGAGTAAAAGATCGAGTCCCTCGTTTTGAAGAGAAATTTCAAAAATACCAATCCTATAATAGTGAAGATTCTACTTGACTTTTTATCATTTAGTGGATCATTATAAGTAGAAGAGCCCCTCTGCTTAATAATTTCTTTTGTGAGTTTGTGACCCTGTCCCTCTCAAAAAACCTCACAAAACAGCAGGCCGGTGGGCTGAAATTGGGAACTCGAAGATCACAGCAGAGCAAACACTTGAAAGACTTTAATAAAGAGAGGAAAGAGAGGGTCAATGTCTTGAACTTCTTAAGTGTTGGCCCTACGGCATTTGCTATGGTCTAATCCCTCATATCATTTTCCTAAGGATTTGGATCCTCTCTACTACAAAAAAAAAAAAAAAAAAAAAGGGGGGGGAATGGTTGTGATTTTTTCTTTTAGTGTAAATTAGGAATGAGTGCAATACACGGGGGTATGGTAAGTGTTAGATTTAGATTGTATCATAACCGCCTACTAAATAATCAACGATTGAGATTAAAAGCAGTGATCTCTCCACTACTTTTTTGTAGTGGAGAGGATCCAAATCCTTTTCCTAATTCCTATTTATTTTCACAAAAAAAAGGAAAAAAAGAAGGAAATAATTAAGAAGGAAAAGAAACATTATACATACTCCTCGATTTGTTAAGTGTTGATAATAGTAGTGGGTTTAGTCCCACATTGGTTGTGAGAACACACCTCACCCTCCGCTACTTGTATAAATATATGTGCACATTCGATATTCAATTTAAGGGAAATTTATCCAAGACTCTTTCTCTCTCTCTCTTACTTTTAACATGGTATCAGAGCTAGGGTTATTATTTTCCTTCCAATAAAAATATTTAACGCTTCTGCGTTCTTTTGCTAAATCTTGGCATTGGTGCTTTGCAGCCGTTTAATGCTTTTTTTTTTGCGTTACTCTGCCAGATTTTTTGGCCTTACCGTTTTGCGGCCTCTTAACGCATTTCGCGTTCTCGTTTAACCTTTGGGTTCCATTTTAACATTGGAGGTTACATTTTTAACAATCGGGTTTCTACATTAACCTTCGGGTTCTATTTTAAACCTTCGGGTTTCATTCTAACCTTCAGGTTCTATTTTAAACCTTCAGGTTTTATTTTAACGGCATCGTCGTTTCAAGACCATATCTTGGTCTCAAATTTACGGCATTGTCGTTTTCAAAGCCGTCTCTCGGCCTAAAATTGCGATTTCAAGCAGTCTCTCGACCATCTCTTGGTCTTATAACTGTCGTTTCACAGTCAGTAACGACATCGCCGTTTTAATCCCTCTCGACGTCTCAACATCGATGTTGAGACGTTGTGGGTCTCCGGCGTGAGCATCAGATCCGCCCGATCTTCCGGCCACCTTGGTCGCCGACTACTTCTTTTTCTCAGATTTGAGAGTCATATATAACCTTCGGGTTCAAATTTAACCTTCGGGTTCTCTTGTTGCTTCTATAAGTCCAAAATCCTCTATCTTACTTTTCGCAGATTTGTGACATAGACAACTTGGTCATGTATCTCATAAAAGGCTAGAGAGTCTTATCCAGTCCGGAGTACTTGGTCCCGTATCCTCTCGTTCTCATATTGAGTCATGTACTGGTTGTAAATTGGCTAAATTCACTGCTCTACCGTTTCCAACCAGTACATCTGTTTTCACTTTCTTATTTGATTTGGTCCATTCTGATATCTGAGGGTCATCTTCTCTGCCTTCTTCATCTGGCTACTTATATTATGTTAGTTTTATCGACGATTTCTCTCGTTATACATGGGTCTACCTACTTAAAAATCACTCTGACGTACTTTCTGCTTATCAAGCCTTCACTTCTATGATCTTCACTCAATGAAAAGCTCGTATTAAAGTTTTTCGTTCTGACTGTGCCAAAGAGTATCTATTATCTGCCATGCACTCTACCATGATCTTTCATGGAACTATCTTTCAACAGTCATGTCCTTACACTCATGAGAAAAATGGTATTGTTGAACATAAAGATCGTCATATCCTTGATACCGCTCGATCAATGCTCATTTCTTCCTCTGTTCCTCGTCGTTTCTGGGCTGAGGTCATTCTCACCGCTGCTCATGCCATTAATATCGCTCCATCTAGCTCTCTTTCTGGCGCTACTCCTCATAGCCGCATCTATACTCATTCTCCTCGTTATGATCTGACCCGCGTTTTTGGCTGTCGCTGTTTCGTTCTTCTGCCCTTTCACGAACTTGATAAAATTGTCTCCCAGAGCTTTTCTCCGTTTCTATTTAGGAATTAGTTCGGAACATCGTATGATTATCGTTGTTATGATCCCGCATCTCGTCGAGTTCATATATCTCGACACGTTCAGTTCGAAGAGGATTCTCCATTTTATTCTGCTTCTGATAACTTTAATTTCCTCCACACTACTGATCGTGTTTCTCCGCCAGCTGCATCACCTATTTCATTACTGTAGGCTGTCTAAAAATAATAATAGATAGCTGATTCCCCATCAAACACCGATGATGAAAGTTACAATCTGACGACTCCCAGAAGGCTACAATTTGAAGACTTTCACATATCAAAGAGCTAAAGCAAAGATTACAAAACGACGATCTTTAGCAATGCTCTGACAGAAAGAGATTACAAATCGACGATCTCTTCAAACCAAGACGTGGAAGTCCTCCCTGCGTACCATCATCAAGACACAACACCAATTCAATCACCTACCGTGGCAAACACAAATGCAGCTTCTTATGTGAGATGATTGATCTTGATGGCTGCGATAACAACGTGACTAATATTATATTAGCAACTATCAGAGGTGCTGATGAGCAGTGTAATGATATTCGACACACTGAAGAGCACATGGTTAAACCATGCAAAGAAATCTTGGTGGAGATCGTGACCTGCAGTTGATAGAGCGTTATTGAGATGCCTCAATTGTCACGAATAGCCTGAATAAGACATTCTTTACTGGTCATTGGTGTCATCCATATATAAAGACAGAGAAACCTGAACGCAGATTCAACAAACAGCTCGAACGCATCATCATCGCTGCCCAACGCAGCTCATCATCGCTGCCCAACGCAGCTCATCATCGCTGCCCAACGCATCTCATCATCGCAGCTCCAACCAATGTCGAACGCAGTTCTACACTGCTGTCAAACGCACCTTCAAACATTGAAGAACGCAACTCAATATCGCTATAGAACGCACCTCCAGATACTGCGTTCAAATACAGAATTTAGGCCAGAACGCATGTCAAAATTCTGACCTGTTCAAACACGATCCAGGCAGTTTCGAAAACTGCTCTTCACCCACGATTTGAGGAATGGCTTACGTGGGTTGTTACACCCGATCAATGGGGTAACTAAGCCCCCATTTAGGAGCGGATTATGGGGGTAGTTACACCCCAAATCCCCCTATAAACATCAATAAACTCAACAGAGTTAAGAGAGCTCTTTTTCGGAGGGCTTAGATCGGATTTTTGGAGATTGGATTTTGATTACTTGGAGAGGATCTTTCGATTAGATTTCCCAGAATCAGAAAAAGGGGATTAACTCCTTACACAGTCTGGGAAATCAACAAACGGAGGAGCTCTAAACCGTCGATATTTGGCTTATTAACCGAATTATTTTCGGTTTGAACAACTCTATTACCAGAGTTTATTCTGAATCACGAAACTCATCAAGAGTTATCAACCAGACAAGATTGTTGTTCCAGTGAGCATAGATATTTGGATCGTCAACGAGAAGCAAACTCGACGCAAGCATTCGAGGGAGGCATCTCATCGCTACCGTGAAGAACCCAGAATTAAACAAAGGAGGGGATCCAGATCATTCTCTTCTCTTTTGTAATCAGGAAATCCAATTGTAATCAAGAGTTGAGAGAGTTGTAATCATTCTTTTTCTAAGCAGTTAGAGAGAATGAAATCAAATACAGTTCTTTCATTCACTTTGTTTTTATTACAAATTTTCCAACAAACAAAAGATGGCGACTCCGCTAGGGACAAGCTTCTCTGACGAAGAAGTGGTGGCGCAATCCGACGTTCACCTCACTGGAACAACCGTCGAAACTCTTGTTGTGGAGTTTGACCAAGCCAAGTACGAGGAGGCTCTCTCCTCTGGATCGCTTAGCCCCAAGGTTAGGCGAGATGCCTTTCAGGACTCTAAAAAAGTTTTAATTACTGCTGAGATGCCAAAGAAAGCCCTCTCCTTTGGCCAAAGCCTCAAACTTGCTCTGCAAGCCAAAGAAAGCCCTCTCCTTTGGCCAAAGCCTCAAACTTGCTCTGCAATCTGAAGATCCCACGACACAGCGTGTACTTGGTTGTAAAAGGCCTACCCCACGACACAGCGTGTACTTGGTTGTAAAAGGCCTACGACAGAGAAAGGCACGATCAACGCCGACGACGCTGCTGTTAAAGCTTTGAAACAAGCCAAGAAAAACGCCGCTCGAAGACGGAGAAGATCCATCCGACGAGCACATCTCTGAGACGCCGCTCGAAGACGGAGAAGATCCATCCGACGAGCATATCTCCGAGAAAATCAATCCTTGGTCCAACGCAAGGATTGCATTTCCGAAGCTCTACCGAAGCATTGCGTTCATACTCCAGAACGTACACTTCGAGGTAACGAATCCAATTATGAACCTCGGGTGATTCAACTTAAACGCGACCCTCAGTGGTGCGTTGTACAATCAAAACACAGCCCTGCTAAGGGGAAACAGACGCCTCATGAGTGCGTCCGAACAAAACAAGACCTTAAGGGGTCTGTTTCATCGACTGAACGCAGGCCAAGGCCTGGTGTTTTTAAATCACAACGCGACCGTCGCACTTCGCTTCCCGAATACGATGTGGTCCGCCAAGTTAAAAAGGGTCGAAGTGGACTCAAGATTCACGCCCACCAAGAACCAGTCTCGCCCCCTCAGAAACAGAGGGTCATATCTCCGATGAAGAATCAATCTCAAAGCCCCGACTTGCGAGATTTACTCTCTAGAAGAAAACCAATGCAGCAGGCAAATCAGTCCTGCCATTGTGAGAGGATTATTTCAGCAGTCCTCTCCGAGTGCCAATGTTGCGTACCTGAACCCCGACAATCGGTGTTCGACAGATTGGCGGATGTCGTCAGACCTACCAAGAGACGACGCCATCATAAGAAGAAAGATTCTGAAGCCGAGTATCCTCAGGT